GTGGATCTTCATGGGTAGGGCTGACACGGAGTGTCTCAGCAAGGGGGTGGCGACTGGAGGCAGTGGGTCAAGAGTGCCTGTGACAATGGGGGATGAAAGTGGTTTGGTGACGGTAGCTGTGTAGGCCACAGCTTGTGCCTGAAGAACAGTCCGTGGGTAGGAGGACGGAGCTAGAATGGAGGTGGGACTAGATTGTGGCTATAGCAGGTCTTTTTAATATGGGCCTATACCTGTATAATTCTAGATCCAGACACATTAGAATAATAATTTGAGAACTTTGTTAAAATCAGCAAGTAATATGAAATATTAAAAAAAAAATTATTGGAAAAGTAAAGCCATACCTTAAAAATGCAAGGAGAGAGAGAACTTTCAAAATGAATTATTGCTCAAGTTTAAAGACTGATCTGCACACCAAAAAATGGACATCATTTCCTCATGTAGTTCCTGTGTTGAGTTTTTGTTCACATGATTCTGTAAGCGGGGTTTCAAGACAGCAGGCACGTGTACCCAAGAGAACGTAGCTCCCACCAGTGACTCAGGCCTGCTGTGTGGAAAGGATTGTCTGTCTTTTCCTTAATGCCCCTCTTGCTTTAGCAGTACCCTGAGCAGTAAATAATCTCCCTATTGTCTTTTAGAATTAGTATGTGACTTCCTCTTCCCTGGCCTTTGTTTTTAAACCTAAATTTTTCCCTTGGGAGTGGTAGGTGACTCTATACTACAACTTTTATTTTGCATCTAGTTTTATAACTTTAGATAAAATAATAAGCTTAAAAAATTGATTGGTATTTTGAGAGGAATTATATTTGATTCATTTAAACCTCTGTCCTTAAGCTTGCTTCCCATTTAGGGGATTTAAAAGGGAATACTGCCGCCTTGTGTACATAGAGCAGAAGTGAATGCTGGCGAGCTGCACCGCACCACCGGTGTGCTGCCTGGTGAGGAGACTAGCGCTCCCTGTTTTCTCAGGCTTCTTAACCCGACTTTTACAATGTTTTCCCATAGCGGAGTATGACACACGTGCAAGATGAAGTCAACATGAAATCCAGTCAGCGGGAGCATCAAAACATTCAGGTAAAGAGGAAAAACAATTGGTGGCTCCTTTAGGACTTTTTTTTTTTTTTTTTGTACCAGGAATTAAACTCAGGACCTTGCATTTGCCAGGCAGACGTTTACGCTGCTGAGCTGTCTCCTGGGGCGACCCTGTGGGTATCTCCCTTTAAAAAGGATTCCAGAGTTCTTTGTAGTGGGAAGGAGAGGAAGGAGAGAGAGCAGGTGGAACAGCAAGGAGGCTGGATATGGTCTGTGGCTATTTGCTTCACCAACCTTTACATGAGAGCTGACTTCTTAGGAATGTTGGGGTCAGTATTGCCGTTCAGTCATACACCATTAGAGGTGTGGCATAGGATGAATGATTTTAAAGTACATAAGGGAAAAGAAGGGATGTAGTTTTAACAATTTTATCTATAACTCTCTTGATTTAAATGTATCTTTGTGATATAAACCATGCCTTTATGTTCATTTGGGAAAATTAAGTAGGTGATAGAGGTACTGTTCATTAATCTAAACAAAATTATTTTTGATTAAGAAAAATGATTTTGTTAAACTAATCACATGGTGCTTTTCATCCTTTAGGTTGGTCAGGTTTAAAGTAATATTAGATGGATTTTGTTGAAAGAGGAATCTGATTAGTTTATGACTAAAACATCATTAGCTAGTATATTAATTAGCAGTTTTCAGTATAGTAACATAAAGGGCCAGCCAAATAGCTCCGAGGATTAAAATGCCTGCAGGCAGGCTCAGGGGCCAGGGTTTGATCCCCGGGCCACTGTGCCCCTCGGGCACGCTGAAATAGCAGTTGAGACTGAGCGTGGTGGTGCACGCCTGTAATCCCAGCTCTTGGGAGGCTGAAAAGAGGTGGATTGCTAGGTGTCCAATCTAGTAGTGAGACCTTAAAATACAAAAAAATAAAAAAGTATAGTAACATAAAAAGCAACTGAGCTATTGTGTTAATGCAGAGCCCTGAAATGATGATTAGGTTAATGGAAACATTGGAATACTCTCATAAACATGGGATGGCTTAAAGAAAAGTTAAAATGACACATACTTCTGCTATTTTCTGTTTTGGGGTGTTGCTTCTATTTATTGGAATCATGGTTATTTTCTCTCTTTACAGATGTTTATTTGTGTTTATTAGATATCATAGGACAGTGATTTTATTACTGATAATTAGATTTTCAGTCATTTGATTGTCATTGTAACTACTGTATCATATATACTTAAAATTGTTTTGTCCGTGTATATATCTGTATGTGATGGTGAATGCTTTAAAAATTTCTTTTCACGGGGCTAAGTGGCACATGCTGAAACTGCTACCTGGGAGGCAGGGTGAGCACAAGTTCAAGCCATTTCATGAAACT